ACAGCACCCGAGCCACCTATGCCAGATGCAGAAATAAAGATAAACCGCCCACCAGCTCTAGGTTATGAAGCTGTAAAGGTAAATCAGCGCATCAGGCAACAGGTCCTTGTACCTAATGAGCTGAACGAGGAATTTGAGCTGCCTCCTTTCGTTGAGGATGGTGACAACCCTTCCACTGTAGCTTACAGATACAGGACATTTGTGGTACCAGGTGATAATCACGGCCATGGCTGGAGTCGTGTGCCGATCCACGTCATCACCCGTGGCGAAGTTCACGCGCGCGTGCCTGGCGTTCCTAGCGGAGGCTATACTTATGTCTGTGCGTTGAATGAGTTGCCTCATAAGACTCAGAAATCATGGCGTACGCAAATTGAAACCCAGAAAGGAGCTCTTTTGGCCAACGAGATGCGTAACAACACTGCTAAGATGCAGAGGTTCGCTGCATGTGCTATTATAAGTGGCTGTGATATTCTCAAGCTTGCCTATGTGTCACGGCGTACACCTGGTGATGCGGAGAACCACTCAATCATCGGAATTCATACATACACTACGGAGAATTTGGCTGTGCAGATGGGACTCAACATGCGGAACGCCTGGGCTGTGGTGCGCCACATATGCGCTTTGATAATGTCTAAGCCTGATGGTCAGTACATCCTCGTCAAAGACCCTCTGAAACCTAACATTCGGTTCTACGCAGCGCCAGAGGAAGAGGATATTGAGTTCCCAGTGAAAGAATGACGGCACTTGTGCGGCGTGGAACAGAACAACCTGTTTGAAGCTCTAAAGGCCATGCTATTTACACTATGGCTTTATCACACGTAGTACTCATCATAGGTTGTTGTTTTGAAACTTCAAAATGACATTTTAAGCTTTTTATTAATGTTCCTCACGCCGAAGGGCGACGACTGAAAATTGTAGCCGAATAATGTTTACCGCTTTGCAGCCACCTATACCAGCGTCTATCGGGTTGCAGGTGTGCGATAGGTGTAGTTTACCGATAATAAATCGGATTAGTTACAGGCCGGCGACATGCCAGGCACAAGGTTATTTCTGTGGTGGTGCTCTATCCTTCAATAAGCAAAAAAGATATCCTTTGTATAATACATGTAATTTATCAGCACGAGCTGATGTGGTTCTGTGCGTTGATGTACGGGATTACATCAATGAGTGCCGCGCCTTCTGTAATACCACGTCGTGTTCACCTTAGGTAAAGGTCGGTCAAGAAGATGACATATGGCCTTAAAATCGCTCAAATATATTTATTATTTTAATTTATGAACACGTAATCACCTTGGTTATCCCATATATCGCTACCTTGGCCGATGTAGTCGAGTCTTAGAATCCGGGAAGAAAGCCAACCACGCCATGGCGGCACTAACGGATTAGTAAGTCTCTATGTGGTTTATGTTGTCGGTGAAACAAATCCTGCTAACCCTCGTTTGCCTGGGGATTCTTAGCAGATGGCAGTCGCCGCAGGGTACCCTATTGTTACCCTCCTTGGTTGCTTCCGCGGAGAAAGTAAACACACCGGCCTTCGTCACCACTTCTGCGGCACTTCGTAGAACTTCAAAGGGTGATGAAGACACCAACAAAGAACACAAGTATCGCGCGGTGCTGAAGGAGGAACAAAAGAGTATTGACTCACCAGACAAACCAGATGACGCCAGTGTAGCAGAAACAACTTCAGAAGGAGACACTATACCTGATGATCTTTCTACGGTTGGCTCTTCATCTGAAATTACATTACAAAACGAGTGTTCCAGTGCCATGGCACATATCGAAGAACTCCTATTACGCAACGGTTCATCAAAAGACATAACCAATAAACATGTCGCTCTAAACACACTCAGGTTAATTGTTCAAACTTATCCAACCTGCATTAGAAAACTACAACAGGAGACAATCGATGCATTTTCGGAACTCCTACAGCAACGCTTTAAAAGGAATTTTTGGCAGCGCTTGCGCAGCTGCCTAGGGCGTCAAACTCCATTGAAACTGCACAGACGCGCATTAATCGAGGCCAATGTTCTAACCATTTTACTAGAAATTTCAAGGCGTAATGCAAAGCTACGGAAATACATGGCGCAAAACAAAAACTTAAGGAATACTTTGCTGAGAATATATTTCTCAGGATACAAGGGACGCAAGAAAGGCGATGCTTCGGAGGGGAAGGCGAAAAAACACTCTGAAACTGCAACTGACAACTCGACGGGGGACTCCACCGATAAAGACCAGGGACATAACACAGACACACATAAAGATGCAATCAGTCAAAGCGACGACACCAAACATTCGGTATGGAGTGCCAAATATTTGGTACGCGAGCTATTCCGAAGCTTCGGATACGCAAACTACAACTCAATTGTGTCCCAATATGAAAAATTACGTGCTACCGCGGGACTAGGAGAAAATGCGTGTTACGATGTACAAAACTTTATCATGCGAGATAAAACCGATAATGAGGATTCGACAACAAACGATGAGTTGGAGGAGTCGCAAACCTCCAACTCAGAAGATAGTTCCTTGAACGGTGACGATTCGCAACTTTTATGGGTACCATATTGCCTTGCGGATGATGCCGATCCAGTGAAGGCACTGAGGCGCAACATGCGTATTAATTTGGGACCTGAACTTGCGGAATCTGTAAATTTAGACGCCCTTTGTGAACTGACTGTAGACAAGCATGAAAGCCCCAAGGAACCCTTGACATTCGGTGTGGTAGTCTTATGCAAAGCCACAGCATCAGGTGCAATCAGCTGCGCTCCGAATATACCCTCACCTGCGGATGCCAGCACAACACCACTGACAGCAAAAGGAGGCGAAGAATATAAGGTGGTATCAAATATCATATTAGGCAGATCAGAGCTTATTAATGGTGTAAAATTGGCCACACAACTGATGCAACAGCTTGTGCATACCGATACTTTGTATGCTGCTAACGATATCATCAGCGAGCTGTGGACCTTGGTTGCATCAGGAGACACTGAGGTCATCGAAGTGGTACATCAGAACCTCGACCTTGACTTTTTAACAGATGTACTGAATCGCACGTTGTTGTTTAGCGATGTTGATGATCTAGATGTTGTTCCACCTGCGGATGAAGACGAAAAATCAATAATTGCCAAATTTTTTGTCGTTTTTAGAAACATTTGGGGATCTGTAAAACGGTGCATGAACAAGGTTGTACCTGTTAAAGATTCCTTAAATTGCAATAGATTTTTAACTAATGAATTTGGAACTACGGATGTCTTTAAGACAAACAATGATGATTCCACGGGAAGCATTCCACCTTCATCATCCTCAGAGGAGGAAGCGTCAGTGCTTGCAACATTGGCAAATGCTAAAATCGCTAGGCGACTACAAACCGCAATATTTGGACTCCTTATCGACATGGTATATTTCCATGGAGCACGCAGTTTGGCGACGATTACGAAATGTTCTGCATTTGTAGATGCAATGAAGGCAGTGAGAGAGACGTTCCCTGAGCCCGCAAAACTAATACAGGCAGTGGATGAACACAACAAACGTGTGGCACCTCTGGTTGACCGTAGGCGCTTCGATCCTCGCAAGAAAACCAGTGCGATTCGTAGACCCGTACTCAACGTTGACCAGACTACAATGGAAAACCTACGGTGGCGTGATCGCGACGAATACGGTAATCCAGAGATGCCTTACTCCCAATGGGAAGAAGAGAGTTGGATGAGACAACGAACTGTGCCTACCTCGGCATTAGGACCCTTCGTCAACGGTCATAAACTTTTGAATATGCTCGGACACCACGATCAAACCCGAATAAAGGGACGTGGTCTACGTATTCTTAGCATTGACGGAGGGGGTTCAAAGGGTGTGGTAACTCTGGAAATTCTTGCGGAATTAGAAGAGAAGTTAGGCAAACCGCTTTACGAGGCATTCGACTTCATTGTTGGAACGTCATGTGGAGGGATTATAGGTGCGCTTCTAGCACTGGAAAGGTCACGGGTCTCTGAGATACAGACACATTTCGACAAAATGCTGGCGGAGGTCTTCAAAACCGATTCCTACCACAGCAGAGGGAAACGTATGATCACTCAACATGCTTACTACGACGAGAAAGTGCTATATAATGTGTTAAAGAAGACTTTCGGACCATCTGAGTTAATCGACTATTCTGTTGATCCAGATTGTCCCAAATTCTGCTGCCTTTCTGTGCAATTCGACATCTACCCCTTCAAGCCCATAGTATGGCGCAACTACAATTACCATCCAAAATTATCATCGGTTAAAAACGCATCCAAGCTTCATGATGGGTCATTTGCTATCGGTACAGCGGATGCACTTCGTGCGACCACTGCAGCGCCTACATACTTCCCTTTGATGGAAGTAAACGGAGCGTTATATGCCGATGGTGCACTATACGCAAATAACCCGAGCATGGTCGGTCTTATCGAAGCCACGTTAGCGTACCCGGATATTCCGATAGATTGTATGGTCAGTATCGGTAACGGTGACTGGCACGAAGATATCTTCCCGGGAGAAAGTAAAGACATGGTGGAGCGCGTGAGTGCTAATCTAGGTGAAAATAAGGATTGCCTCCTTGATGTGGTGGCTGATGTCATCGATGCAAAAGATGTTATACTTAACTCACCAGGCACGCCGCCTAAATGCCCATCACCCTCGGTAGGACTGGAAAGGATGCTCCAACATCTGATATTCTCTGCTACAGACACCGAGATGGTGCATCTATCGCTGCAAGAGCTCATGGACAAGAACAAATACTTCAGGATCAACCCGCCGATCCCGCTCGTGGGTATGGCGGAGGTGGACCCTGAGGTGTTGTCCGACATCAAGGAGAGGGCACAACGGTTCATGGCTGAAAAACAACAGCAGGATGTTCTAAAGAAAATAAGAGAGGTAATGCTGCCTAAGGCGGAGGTAAAGTCGGCCAAAGCGTCGAAAGATTCGTAACACATTAAACCGAAACGTTATAGTATTGTCACTTTTTAAATAAATTTCCATCTCGGTCATTTAGATCCCTTGTATGAGCGTTGACGTGTACATGCTAAACAGAACCAACTTGGCGAGTTTGCGTCCACTTGGCCATCTGCCCAAACACCAGCGCAGACAAAGTGGAACCAACGTTCGCACCCGGCACATCCAATCCAATGTAAATCGTCACCTGGTAGACCTGGGCTCCGCTCAAAGTAGATTGAAAAACATACAGGGCAGAAATATTCCCCAGAATCTAATTGACCAGAATGACAATAGGTCAAAATGTCCTCCATAGGCATTCTTTGGCGATTGTCGAAATTGGAACCGTCCAACGACTTTGGCTTGCGACCACGCTTACTACCATGGATAGGCTTTAATTGACCAGCCTTTATTAACTGAATAATAGCTCGAATCTCTTTCTTGTCACGACGACCACCAACCACGTTCATTGCGTTATACGCAGTCCAGTTAAGTGCTTGAATCAATCGATCTCGTGCAATGTTGTCAGGCAGTAAACTGTACTCGTTTACGGGCTGGCCAAAGTTGCTTTTAGATAGAACCAGCCCTAAACTCATGTAATTGATGCCGCTCAACATGTTCATAGTAGCATTCAGGTTACCCATTGGGAAGGATCCCACCTTGCATGGTAGCTTAGGTCGCTTGGCACTTGAAGCTTGAGCAGTTAGTGGTCGGTTGAATGCCGGACGCAAAGGTCCCTCGTTACGCATCTTGCTAGGGACACAGTATCTAGACATATAGACACCACCAAAAAATCCAGAAAGGTGATACTTAGTTGCAAACAACATCTCATACAGATGAGGTGGAGCTATCATAAACTTCCGCTCGACTTGACTCATACGTACGATGTGCAGGAACGTATGACGCAAACAGTATACACGACGAGGGGATGTTGTAACACCCTCAGGTTTCTTGCCCATGTCAGCTTTGCATCCGAGCCAAGCACCACAGGATGCATGGAAGCGGACGGTACAGTAGTTGTTACTACATGTAAGGGTAGCGCCACAGCCCACTCCACAATAGTTGCACGGATACTCGAAGAAAGTCTTGGGGAACTTGCGCAGCGAAGCTCCTATAACCTTAGAGTATGACAACCAATCTACGCAAACCAGATGCACATAAGCATAACCGCAGTACTCAGATATCCAGTTGAGATAGAAGGGGAGGTTATCCCGGCTTACAGGCACAAGTAGACCATCGAAGCGGGAACACAAAGCACAGCATAACAATGGCAAGTTAATGTCGTTCTCCATATCCTCACAACGACAACACAAAAATCGATCGTCGGAATCATCGCCAGAGGATTCCGTTGGAACTGGTACACCTGTAACAGCATTCGTCGTGTTGTCGCATTGAACAGAATTATTCACAGGAGAAGGGTCCTTGCTCACATTACCGCCACTAGGATTGTTCAAATAAGGACCGTTTTTCACAGGTGGGCTCTTTATCATAGGACCCGTCTTACCAAACGGTCCGCCGCACATGCTTCCAGGTATATTGCGATCATACATTGTGTTCATAGTCTTCCCACCGTTCCCGTTGTACAAAGGGGTGCCCATATTCGGCACCGATAAAGGCAGATTGTTGCACATGGGTACAGGGCTACCCAACGGTGGCGGAGGCATCATGCATCGCACCGGACTAGGTGTGTTCAAGGGACCCCTAGACATAGCGGGCGCAATCATAGATCCAATACGTGAATCCGAATTAGTAGGCGTGCTAATACCCAAGCCATGACCAGGATGACCGCCAGTACGATCAAGCAGAGGGCTACGAGCCATCAATGGCAAAGAAAGCATCGCATTACGCACAGAAGCGATACGGTCATCATCAGCCATAGGCTGAAGACTTCTAGAAATAGGCGGGTTGAGACCACTGTAAATAGGCTGAGAAAGCAATGTTGCAGCGGACATGTATGCATCTGTAGGTGTTGGAGTTGGTGGGATAGTCACCGTTGTCTGGTTCACCTTGATGCGCGTGCGAGCATTCTTCATATGAGAAAGGCAGTCACTACAAGCGCGTGCATTGCATAAACGACATGTTTTGTAATGTTGTGCATAGTTTATACGCTTACGCATCGCACTACTATCTTCCTCAACCTCAGGCTCAAGTACCTTAAATTCTAGACATCCAGAACAAATCACAAAATGACGTGACACATCTATGTTAGTTACGTTCTCTGTACCAGACTTTGAACATACAACCCTAGTAATTGAAAGTGGCAGCAATTCCGGGCCCAGACGCATTAATACAGTCTGGTTAAGACCCTTAAGCATATCCATCACACGCATACGACACTCCTTACGATGATCCACAGGTGGGTTGACACCACGTGGGACTCCAGAATAGTCGGGAGACATTGGTGTCAAAGGTGTAAACACCTCCTCCACTGGATTTGTGCCAATCTCGCAATTACGACGAGAATCATCCACCAATTGTATTGTCTTCATATGACGAAGTAAATTAACAAAAATAGTACACATCTCAGAACCATTTTTCGATTTGAAATATAAAATGTTAAGAAGACGTGTAAGGCCTAGCAAAGATGAACGACAACTTTTAGATATAACTTCTGAAATCAGACGTTGCCCTCCTATAAAATCATCAGATATAAAGGATAACATCTTTTCATCTGCCGCACGAGAAGAAGCGCAAATGTCACTCAAAACTATCGCTGGAACGCCTTCAATATAACTCAGAGTGGACTCCTTGCTGTCATCCATAAAAGTAGATCCCTTAGTCTTTGCCGCTGTGAAGTCAGGGAATAACAAACTACCCACATGCTCAGATGTTGGACAACGGTCGTCATAAAAGCCCTTGTAGTGGACCTGTTCATCCTCATCATCGTTACCCATGTTACACCAGAAACATAGCTCCTTGTCTAGATTAGTAACACGACATACATTTGGATCCTTAGGGTATACCGATGGCACAACATCGGTGACGATGGAATCACGTTTTGCATCTGAACCTAGTTCCATTGAACTCTGGGAGCCACCAGCTTCAGAAATATCCTTAGGAGTAGATATGTCCGTATCATTCGCAGAATCAGATTTTGAAACTACAGAAGATGCCTCAAAAACTGGCTCAACCACTGGTTCCACAACTTTTCCCACAATCGGTTCTAGTATTGGTTGCACCGTTGGTTCTACCACAGGTTCCACAACCTTTGCATTCTTAGCCAACCTATCCTTATTGGAGTTCGCTGTCTTACGAGTACTAACATACTTGGAACTATCTTGGATAGTTGCAGTGCCTTGCGCCAATGCACTGCGGCTACGGGTTGTTCGAACCTCGGGCACATCAATTTGTTTCTCTGGCACCGTTTTAGCAGTGCTAGATGTCGAACTCGATTTACGGGCATCCCTGCTCTTTTCAGACATTTTGAACTTCCCAGTCTTGTCACGCAAAGGAAGCTTGGCCTCCACCTTCTGGGCAGCGGTCGGCTTCGTATCGGCCGGTTTACAGTTGTCATCCGTACTCTCAGGAACCACTTTCTCAGAAGTGTCCTTTTCAACAACAGGCGGCTTTCGCACCACCTCGTCACCGTATAACGGGATAGGAAAACCACTACGTGGCTTCAAATCGAATATACGCTCAATCACATTTGCTATTGAACGATAGTTTGGTTCGAACAGATGGGTTAGATAAATATCGTCCTTGGGATTGACACTGTCCAAATTAGTCTCATGGGTACTGAGCTTCCTAAAGTTCTTGTATTGTACCTTTGTCTGAAGTTTACGTAATAATACTGTAGGTGCCAAACCAGAAGCATGCTGCGGGCATAAAATATCCGGTTTGCCGTTCTGATCCCAGGTAAAGAGACAACATGAGGATGCAGCGGCACAAGATACATGGAACGCCTTGCAACAGTTACCATGTGAACATTGGACAATCGCTGTACTCATGTTATGACAAACCAAACATTTAAGAGCTTTGATCTTAGGCACAAATGTACGGTAGTCAATCTCTTTAGGCGTGATGGTACAATCCACAGCTATAGCACAACGCACATGGGCCCAAGTTCCGGGATTAGATGTACGTTTCATGGGACCACCACCCGGGTAGTAAGCGTCAAATCCACAAAAAACACAAACCGGAATCTTCAAATTTACGAAGAAATTACGACCCATGCGTACACATATTACCAATTTCTTCAAAGGATTCTTACAGTTTAATGTAAACATATCTTCACGAATAAGCTCAGTCTCAGGACCCCGAACCACCTCAGCATTTATCGCAGCCACAACATGAGGAGGACGCTCGATCTTCACGTCCACAGGCTTACGACCACGCTTCTGTGGTAGTGACTTTTGACGTTGCAATATGCGATCTTGATGGATTAAATGATGCGTAGTCTCCTCTTCTTTAGGTAAGAACATAAACAGCTTCAACATACCATCCAAATTGGCATTGGTCATGTGCTGCACCAAATTCTCATCAAAAATGTCATGCGCAACTTCCAATTGAGCTGTTGTCATACCCTTGAAAGACCAAAATTGAGTGATGGTACGACCCAAAACATCCATCTCAAAACCCTCCAAATCAACCTCAAAAGGTGATTGAATATCTTCATCTGGCAATGTTACTGCTACAGTAGTAGGGATGTTGCCATATTCAACCAATGCTGTGAAGCTTAATTTACCATGGGCAACAGAGTCACCCTTAACTGGTTGGACCTTCTGGTCCGGCTTAGCACCAGAGACAGCGTTAGCAGGAGTGCCATTAGACTTGTCACCCGATGATTTGTCAGTTACAGTGTTGGCGGGAGGAGCCAACGGCACGACAGGGGTACGACGATATAACGTGCACAGGTCAATGCGTTCCATTGGGTTGTCATACTCAAAACCAACAACATATGGCAACCGAGATACCTCGACATTCTCGCTATTATCAGCGTTGGGGTTATCACGCATAAGGTCTACCATCTGCTTGTTACGAGGACCCGCAGAAATACGAATCGCCTTCATGGCCATATTCTCATCGAGAAATGCCAATTGATCCAAAAGAAATAGACAACATGGACACATCCATTCGTCCTCATCGATGCTAGGTTCATCGTCCTCCTTTGTATGCAACAGTTTGTGACGCCGCACATTCTGCCTCATCGTCTCTGACATTGTGCCAGGTTTATAACCAAGGCAACAATAATGCATCGGGATGTAACAACAGTCACAAAATAGAATGGGGTCATCGTCCCAGTCCTCGTCACTGCCGCAGATACTACAAAGAGCATGGTCAGTCCATTGTGCAGGCAGATTGGAACTCTTGTTGCACACTAGACGGATACGTAAGACGTCAAGGCTCTGACGCTGGGTATTATAGTTATACCGGTTGTCCATCATCTTGTTGTTATACTGCTCAATATAACACTTTATCATCTGCGATTCCACCTGAGACCAATAATCAAAATTAGGCCTCTTCTCTGCCTGCACACGCTCAACCAAGGTACTGAATGTACTATCGATCTCTTCAAGGGTATCCAAATATTCCTTGAGAACTGCTGTTATATCGTCATCGCGTGGACGCTTAAACGGAGGTAACTCGTGCTTCTCATCCTCTAAAGGTTGAGAAAATTCATGAGTACCCATAACCGTACGTGCCTTGTAAATATCCAACCCATTAAAAACAAACTCGTATTTATGGTTGACGGATGTTGGATTGCTGAAACACACACCGGGGATGTTGTTGGTGTTTTCCACGTTCAAACACAATGGACAGACCACCTTAGAGATACCCAGGCAACGCCTGCACAGTGGCGGCGGTTTTGCCTCGACAAAAGTGAACATCTTAGGGCTGTAGTCTATCATGCATGGTGGAGATACATCGGTCAAGCCTAGACTTCGCAAAAGCGAACTCACAACGGATACAGGCTTAGACAAAACGTCATTGTGACTCTCCCATACGGGGTCGGCCACTCGACCGTGAATTTCCCTTAATAGTGTAGTGCACTTCTTGTAAGGCGGACAAATGTCCTTTCCACCCTTAAAAATAGGCTGGAGAGTGTGCGACCACACTGGTGAAGGACCATACAATATATCCGGTACCTGATCCGCAGTAAGTATGTCGTTAAGCATGCTAGTCTTGAATCCACAACGGCGTGAAGTAGCCGAATCATCATGACGAACAGTCTCGGGACAATAAAGCACAAGTCTAATGCCATCAGGGGCTTGAGACGGAAGAATAAACGGAAGTTTCAATTTATTGTCGTGCTTTGCATTTACCACCGGATTGTAGTACACATCGTCATCGTACTCCGCCGTATGCGACTGTCTTGTCATAGAAAATCCACGGTCATCAAAATATGACGCTAAGTCTGCGTTAAGGCTGCTAGTAACAATCGGTAGATGTGGACCAAAGTTACTAGCACCGGGAGTAGATAGTGGACCACCTTTCTTCTTTATACGGAACCTTACCGTATACATACCAGTATCATCCGATGCTGAGCCATTCGATTCTGCAGATTCCAATTTAGATGTACCATTCAGCGCAAGAGCCGTAGATTTCCCAGATTTTTGGCTTTTCGCACGCTTAGCATCGCGACTTGTACTAGAATGCGCAGCACAAGCTTCCTCATGTTCTCGCAAAAGCTCACGGGACTGACGTGCAATGTAACGACAATGCCAAGCATGGCTGCGTAGACACAGAAGCAGTGATGGATTAGGATTTGCAAAGAAATGGCGCTCAGTATCAACCCAGAATCGATCCTCCTCTTGCGATGTTTCCCTAGACGGCGCCAAATCTTGATCCATGGTTCCAATGATGCATTTTCAGGAAAAACCTGAAACAAAAACACCGATACACAATCGAGAATTGAAACAGCACAGTTACAATTATAACACCTCACGTGATAAATCTTAACAGCACACCTATGTGCGATAGACGGAGAGGACGAAAAATAACAAAGACCTCAAAACCGACAGACAAAAAAACATATAATATGTGCCACCTGAACACTCACAAAATCCAACTCGCAGCCAAAGCAGACGCACTATCTACCTATCAGAGACGCTGCCAATACGCAGCGCGCACTGATAATGGCGTTAATTAGAAGCCTGTAGGGTGGCATACGACGCGAGTCGAGCCCGAAGCCCATCGCGCGTTACCTAACCACAAAGTGGAAGCAGCTCCATCAGATAATAAAAGTATATTGCGTGTGACGCCGAAAAGTTGATAGCGCTAACGCATGTTCAAGATTTCTCCGTTGGGTATCAAGGCCCCCGCCTGCGCGGCCACCTCACGCGGAACATACAAACGTGAAATGAACAAACAGAAACATGGCTAAAGATCATTGGTAATGTACGCTCGCAGCAGGCAAGTATGATGTGAATAGGATGCAACAGAAAAAACAGATCTGACAACCTACACATCAAACCTAATATCACGACAAAAGGCAACACTAAGACGTGCATATACAAATGACGAAGTCATCAAAATTCAAATCACATACCATTGTTTGTTGCTGAAATTCGCAAAAAACGCAGTAAATCTATTTAACAACAGCATGAGACCATACGATGTTACACGTTGTCTTTATTCATTTGGTCCTCTTATACGCTTGCCCAGTCAACGCTGTACGACGAACTTCCTTACGTGATATTAGGGGGGACGCTGGAAATAGACATGATATACTTGTCTTTCTCAACGGCCAAACGCCGCTCTACCAAGGGACACGCAACCGCGACACTCAGCAGCAATACCACGTCGCAACAACACCCAAAATAACACATTCTGGAAACTATGTACGACACGCTACAGCAAAATGGCACGAAGAATTGACAATTATGAAACAATGTGGTCGTACCTACAATGCTGTACACGCTGTTGGACGCGACAGCCACCCGCCACTAACACAGGTGCCAAACAACACCCAACCCATGATGATTAAAACATCCACACTCAACATACAGTTCTTACATGATTGGATCAAACGTAAGAAAGAACTAATTAGGAATGCTATCACAGCACTGGAATATCCAATAACAAAACCGGGGTCGTACCTCGCAAAGATTTGCAGACACTCCATGATCAATGCAGAACAATGCGTCAGGCTTCTCGCAAAACAAATACACACATGGTACATCGAAGCATGCAACTTGGAGATCAATAACATATTTAGCATAGGAAGTGATCCACTTTTTAATATCATAAGACTAATAGGGGTCACATATGCTATAGATTGGTGGACGGGAGCCTCGCTAATCAAGGCACGATTTGAATTAAACCCGCAAGATGTATTCGTAAAAGGACAGTATTACAGGCTTGTTACTTCATTATTCTTACATAACGGTCTTGTACACCTGTTACAAAACGTAAGATCACTCTGGGGTATTGGATCCGAGGCCACAGCACTACTCGGACCAACACGGACGCTTATAGTATACTTTGCTTCAGGGATACTGGCCAATTACATCAGCTATGTATACAACTTCGCATATAAAAATGGAATACCAGCCCACCTATTCAACGTCACACAGGCAACGGTACACGGAATAGGACAGACGAGCAGTTCCACAGCGAGTATCGTGGAGAAGGTCATAGACCGCATTAGAAGCAGGCAACATTACACAGCGTTCCCAGTATTCCTCATATGGTATGCAAACGACACGATGTTTCACATAATCGACAACACGGTAAGAACCATGATGCCGTTCTTTCAAAAACAAAGACAACACCCGAACAACCCAGATGTCAATACAGCTATACAGGGATACATCAAGCGAAAAGTCGCTAGACAGAAATCATGTGGCGCATCAGCAGCAATATACGGACTCATGGGAGCTGTCTGTGCCTACTATATACGATTTGGGGACAAGGAAGAGAAAAGGCGGATTGTAGAAATCGTCACAACCTCAATGGCACAGAACCTTGTCGCGCTTTGGGGCGCAAATGTCGATCACGTATCACACTTGATAGGGTTTCTAACCGGGCTGGGACTCACGTTCACGTTCTAGAACAACAAACACTAACTTAATGTAGATTAATATCGTGTCGGTATACAATGTAGCATCACAACATGCTAATTAGACACTACCAATTCGTACCTGGATACACCGACACAATTTACACAACCGGTTTAGGTCGCGCTGGTTGTACGGAGAGTTAGGGTCATCCACGCATGAAAAGTCGTGACGAAAAACTGCTGAAAATGCCACAAACTTGGAGTGGTGGACAAAATCGTTATTCACCTTACCCATAGCTACAAATAAATATTAGTAATAGTAAAAACAACATACCTGACATGAAGTCAGACAGTATTCCATCCAATCTAACAACAAATGTGGTGATACTCCCGAGCACATCGTCCGAAGGCTGATAGTTAAGTAGGTCCAAATAGTCAAGAATAATGTCAGGTAGTGTAGTGAAGTAAAGGTCAAGTAATAGACACATAGTGGTCAGTCGAAGCTGGAAAAATGTCAAAAACACATAAACAAACGTACTGTAAGAGGTAAGATGCTATCACACAGAGAAGATACATGTGTAAGAAGCTGAATTGCGTCCTCACCGAAACTGTCCGCATAGCTATCAAGAGAATTCAACACTCGACTCAAAAGTTTCTGAAGAACCTGCTGTAACAAGGCCGTAAGCTGAGTTATAAGGTAGTCTTGCAATTTCAACATGTGTACGTGAGCAACACATGTGTGGAAATTACATTTCACCAAATCTGAAAACACCGAACCATGACACTCTACGGCCGGTCCCCAGGATATTCGAGACTCCAAAGACTGAACAAAATATGGTAAAACCAAAGATGAACCAGACAACAGCGAGGCGTTGGACAACAAAAGTAAAAAGTTGGTAAGAGGAACATTAAAACCAGCAAGATCTTTAGCATCCTCGTCCTTACTCACTGTTTTAGTGATGCTCAACACAAATTGTTTGAAAAAATCCTGAGTAACCAACATATACGTAGCTAGGATAGATAAAATCATATCCGAAAAACGCTTTATGCACAATGCAATGACATCATGTGATACCATACGCGGCCCTAAAATATCAAAGGCATGACGCAGCAGTGCAATGGGCTGAGCGGATAATACAAACAACAATATAGACAGAGTGTAAATGTCGTTGCATACGCCACATGACTCCAGACGATCAGCCCATTCGAAGGAGGTGAACACTTCGGAAAAGGAGATCCCCGGGAAATCAGTTTCCAAAAGGCTAGTAAGAAGCGTAACTATACTTCTCTTGTCGACAATTCGAATTGACGAATCACGACGAATATTGAAGTCCGACGCCGCAATGTAGTTCAAATCGGTTTCATAGCTTTGCGATTGAGCGCAAAAACGAGTATATACCAACACATGTTCTTCCCAACGCTGCAATAGACTCTGAAAAAAGTGACGTACGAAACGAGAAGACGAGTCCACTACAGTGGCCTCAGATGCTATCACAGTGTCACACAAATAGCGAAATGAACGCAACAAATCATCTACGCCGACACATTCCACATCCCAACATAAATAACATGAGTCAATAAGACGCGATATCAAATCGTCAACTAGGACACGTGTTTGCAACGCAGACAAACACGTGAAGTCCGTAACCTTAGATGAAGAATAATCCAAGTGTCTATCCACCTCTATAGATGAACTAACACTGCCCGAACTGCTTTCGTCCGAAAAATGACGGAGTTGCCGAAGCACTGCCTCGACGTGGGAGATACGGCTTACAACACCCGATATCATTGCAGAGGTGCTATCGTAACCGTCGATAGATACTACAGCTGTAACTTTCTTCCCGGAACCCAAGCGCAAACAGTGGTCGTGAACGTAGTCCACGGAACTTATATCACCGTTATCGTAGCCTCTAGACACGTGGACCGTAGGAGTGACGTAACGAGAGGCGCGGTCCTCTATAAGACGCAAAAAGGTCCCGGACAGGTTCAATATCACCAAACAATCATTGAATGTTACATATGAAATGCACAGCCTTTCACCGTCAAGGTTTAGATACTGCTCGGCCACCGGCATGTAACCATTGTTCAATGACAACCACTGACGACCAATAAATAACACAATTTTTACCAACAACTCATAACGGTGGTAATACCGCCATTTCAGATGGTGCAGCACCTTGTCAGCCTCATCAGAGATACTGCGGTCGTCCGCTTCAGCATCCTCAGACAAACGTTGAAATAACTCTTGGCAATCCAAAGATTCAACAGGATCGCTTGGACATACCATAAATTGCTCTTGAAAACGGTGACGCTCAAGCTCTTCATGCAAAAAGTCGCAAAAGGCAACAGGTAAAGTGTTTATCATTTCAGACAGACACTTGTCGCGAAGAGAGGCGCAGCACACCCGGAGCTCATCTTCCAATTTATCATCAGGAGACAGCGATATAGTACCATCATGGCAACCACAAAGGAGACGCGAGGCTTCCGGAAGGCGTAAACGGCCTATGTGTTCGTCAATAACCTCGTAGGATTGAAGTAACCCTGAAACGATGTCTAACGACCGGCTGACATCTGCCACACTCGGATTGTTATCCATCGTTCCAAGGCAAAAACATCACTACTACATCATTCCATTGTTACGCAAAGTATAAGATCTCAGGCAAAGATGACTGAGGGGCAGCATGGAAAACCGCCAGATGCAACCGTGTTCTAAAAATAAAGCATGGCAACACTAAAATGCTATTCAGTTGACAGAATTATTTAATGTGTGGGTATATAGAGCCATTTAAATTTTGTAGGGGCACAAATGGACCGAAATTGGTATACAGCCAGGGCGTGAGTTACCAAGCTAGTCGGTAAGTGACTAAACGAACGTCTATAAAGATAGATGGTGCCACTGTCGTACAATAATGAGTTATAAATGTGAGTTGCCCTTAAAAATGGCGAATAGCGGCAACGCTTTAGGGAGAAATAGGACCAAACTGCCAGAGAGGGTCTCGGCGTATCACCAATACAAATAATTTCGCAAATACAACCATAGAACGGATGTATAACATAATATCCAAAAACGAAAGTCATTTGACGCCATTAGACGACAAAATGGAAATCTCACCCTTCCCCATCCACTCCCCATCACAGCGACGCCGAGCTCCCCATGGACCTATACCGAAGCAACGAACCGGGACCTCGAGCCACTAACAACTTTAAATCAACCTTCTAAGTGTAGAAGGACCTGCGTAATAGTTGCGCAAAACATCGGGGAACCTTCTCGCACGATTTCGAGACCGCGGAACACTCAAGATGGGTGCCTACAGGTATGTTTCACAATATTGGACATTAGTAAATACACGGAACTATCAAGTCATATTCATACAAGTGAAACCTATCGTATAAAGCCGATACAAATGCTGGAGGCCTAACGTATTTCATAATCCCACACCGACAAACCATCATACACATCGCCCATACATATACAGGTACATGGAAGAGCTTTGGCGCAAAAAACAGTCCGATGCTATGCGCACATTGCTCAGGATCAGGACATGGGAATACAGACAACTCACCGCAGTACATCGCGTATCAAGGCCTACACGCCCTGATAAAGCTAGACGCCTAGGATACAAGGCAAAACAAGGATTTGTCATTTATCGTGTAAGAATCAAACGTGGTGACCGCAAGAAAAATGTACAAAACGGTATTGTATACGGAAAACCAAAGCATCAAGGTATCCGTAAGCAAAAATCCAAACGTAACTTGAGGAGCCTTGCCGAAGAACGTGTTGGCAGACGATGTGGAGGTCTACGCGTTCTCAACTCGTACTGGGTAGGACAAGATGCCGTATACAAATTCTACGAGGTCATACTAGTTGACCCACACCATAACGCTATCCGCAATGACCCTAGGATGCAATACATTGCCAAACCAGTACACAAACACCGTGAAATGCGGGGACTCACATCGGCAGGACGCAAGGGACGTGGATTACGTGTGAAGGGACCAAAGGCAGCGAAGTTGAGACCTTCTATACGCGCCAACTGGAAGAGAAGACAAATACAGCACTTGTGGCGCATGAGGTGATCAGCTTCACAATCAGTGGCACGGTTTTAATGGTTAAGGAACCTCGTGGTCTAATAATAACTAGAAATAATTGCATATGCCATAGAGCAACAGCATGATACGATAAGCAGCTCATAGCTGCCCATACTCCATTGGACATGGTCACATACGGACCTACTTATATCCCCTGGGCGGGACGTTCAATCGAACTCATATACGTATTGTGAGTATTTACCCTCACAAAACAGTGGCATGGAGCTACAGCGGGATACACCACCAGATTTAAGTTCACTGTACACCCATCTGAAACTGCAGATTCAAAATCCAGAGAAAGATGCCATTGTATCATACAGTTATAATCATTAATACATCAACACCGCTATTTCGAAACCAAATCTGTTGGTGAACGACCCGAAGTAATCAAGCTGTTATGTAATAAGCAGCAGGGGTACCCATGTTGCTAGTCGAGCGACAAGTAATAGCGCAAGTTATTAAACATAACACAAGTATAACTGCCAAGATTAACATAGAGATCATACCAGCTAAATGTGTATCGTCTAACCCTCATAAAAGCAGCAGGACGCTTTGTGAGGAAGCCGGTGAGGCACACAACACGTAACCAACAAAAATATACCGTTACATAATAGTACACAAAGTCTAATGAAAAATTCGACACATATTTACAAGTATCGCATTTAATACTACCGAACATTCATAGGATACAAACAACAGTCGCCTCCCAGGATATACGGAGAATGTTAACGTGATCAAACAAGATTTTAAAAGCAAGATAAATGGCATATATCAGGATAACACAAGTAGATGGGATTCTACTCCTCGATCATCAAGGGGAGAGAATCGCCGTCAACTACTACCAGCAGCACTGCGCCGTACCCACAAATGCTAATTCACCAAATAATCGTAAGTTCACAAATACATACAAAACATAGAGGCAACAGTATGGGAAGATGTAGCCAAACAAAAGGCTTTGGAACGTAATCTTACCAAGGAGTTGGATTTTACCAATGCTAAAGGTAAACAAAGACGTAGATGCCAAAGTCACACTCAAACAGAGGGATCAGCAGGATGCCGTATAGTTGACGGGTACCTAGTCAATTACTATATTGCAATAGATTTCGCAATTGTGGTACTGGCACCCAGCAGTGAAAACGAAGTACTACTGTCAGAAGTATGCACTACCCTCAAACAGTGCCTAGTCTCAATCACCGAGTAAGCTGAACACAAAACATAGACAAAACTCGAATAGTGACCAAATGAACAAGGAAGTGCTCTGCACAAAACTGGATTCCGTATTCTTGTTACTAGACGATATCGTAGATGGAGGGTAGGTTATACATAGTTAGGGCCCATAAATCCAACAGAATTATAATGGAAGCTAATCATAGTGTCATTATTAAGCGACTGAAGGGGAAATCGGGCGATGGATCAGACCATGTGCCACTTAATCAGGTATGGGAACATCAACGACTCTATATCTATATTACAGGCCATATATAATATACGCAACAATGTAATCAGGAACCTCCTAAACTCGTGAAATGGTCAATCACCAAACTAAAGCACAGATGTGCCATAGTAGACAACCGTATCTGTCTCAGATACAACTACAGGCTCTCATGAACGCCTAGACGGGGGCGAGAGCGCGACAAAACCGAACAAATATATTCTATGTATAGAACACATGGAGCTAAATATACACAAATTTAGTGAAATGATAATAACATGGCTTAAGCGACCAACTATACTTCAAAACAATGCATACTGGCGAGCGAACTGCCTGCGAATACAACACGCGAACTTTGGCACGAAACGAGTGACACAGAAGAGAAGTAAGCCTAATAACGAACTGATATAAACATAAGAATGCGATGTGACGTGGTACAGATATTATACATGATTTTAATATATGCCACTGCATGGAAGATTATATACTAACGTAAACTCAGGATACATGCTGAAACTAATACACCCAGAAGAAAAAAAAACAATCAAGGTTATGACAGAAGGAAGATTACAATCAGACGACGCATTACCAAAATCATTGCTTTGTAGCTCCGCTATTAGAAAACTTGTCTATTCCAATACGGTAGAGGCACAAAAACTTGCAAACAAAATCAATTGGGATGCATACAAGTCGAATGTTCGTGGAGTAAGGTTTGTGAAATATAAGATAGGATTAATGATAAAAACTATGTATAGGTGGCATCCATCGGGATCATGGTATGTCCAGTTCAATAGAAGAAACTACGAAAAAAACTTCTTCGTTAATTGCCATTGCTATTTCAGGTAACACGAAACGAAAACTATGTCACAATCTATAGTGTCGAAAAACACGGATTCCAAGAAGCTAAACAAAAGGCAATCGCATATCGCAAACGACTTGAAGCGGAATACGAAGAACTACAAGAAACATGGAACGACATCGATAGGTGAGTTCAAAAAAACAAGTAATACTCAAAGCATACAGACAAAGGATGGCTAAAAGAATGGCAAGACGTGATTATCGCGAAAAAGCAATGGAAGAAGAAGAGTTCCTATTGGCAGATTCCACGGTTTGATAATTGAACACTAATACTGTACCAGTATACATTACTGGTGAACCCAGCTAGATAACGTCGCATTTTAAGTCTCAAATAGATAATAATACTGAATCATTGGCCGCGTGGCAGTCTGTCGGCGCTTCTTCTAAGCTCCTCGCAGAGTTGCAGTGGAGAGGCGATGAACTGCGAACTGGCAAGCGACCACAACACACACCAGTTGAAGAAACATACAGCGCACATAGATAACCAAGTTAGCCGAATGGGGGTACACGGAAGGCACTATTCCCATCAGGGGACCACCGCGCCAAGGCTCAACGCGGACAACAATGTATTGAGAATATAACGGAGAATACCACAAAAGATTTGAATTATTCACATTATGTGAACAAAATGCAGCGTGGCGACTTAATACGTGGAATCACCTCAATTTCGAGGAACCTAGCTCGCACATCAGGTATATAAAAAGTGAAAGAAAAATATTGGTTACAGCTATTACGCCAGCAACCTTGCAAAATGTGCGAAGAATTGCAACAACTAATGCCACACGACCTGATGCATCAAACGAATTCGATGTTATTATCGTAGGAGGAGGGGCAACGGGAACGGCCCTGTACTACACCCTTTCGCATTTCACAAGTAAGACCAAAAGTCACATACTCATAACAGCACATAGATATCAAGCGAATCGCACTATGTGAAAGACGGAGCGGATATGCGCTAGTGGCGTCACACCTCAAAAACAACAGCCAGACGATACATTGTGGTATGTTAGGCAAAGACATCTTGGACATCAGTAACAGGTGATATCGAGACGAACTACACCGCAGAAACAGCGACAAAAGTAAAAAGAAGTGCTAACATGCTTAGAAACTGCCTTGGCAAAATACCTCAAGATGAACTTTATCAGTGAGTAACAATGCAGGCAAAATAACACGATGCAGCATTGCAAGAAAAGGACAAAAGATGGTATTAGCTGTAGGAGTTCAAGAATGTCAAACACTGGAGAAGAGATACGAACCATTTAAACAAATATTCCCAACACTACAGCTACTGGATAAGGATCAGGTTGCACATGTAGAACCCAATGTCGTAAAGGGACGCAAAGGCAAACCTAGACCGGAGGACATCAGAGCACTTTATGTTAAAGATGAACTCACAACGTGCAACTACATGGCACTCTCGGAACACTTTGTAAAAGCGGCGAACAATCAAGGGAAACACCTGCAGCCAATGCTTAACACTGAAGTTAAGGATGTCAAACGCGACGGAAGTAAATACAAAGTAGTTACAAACAATGGGGTACTACATTCCAAATTTGTCGTATTCAGCGCCTGCGGATACTCACTACTGTTCGCACAACGGATGGGAATCGGACTAGATTATAGCGTTCTTCCAGTTGCCGGAAGCTTCTATTTCGCACCAAACGTTCTCAGAGGAAAAGTGTACACAATACAAAACCCAGCACTACCATTCGCAGCCATACATGGTGATCCTGACATAGGCGCAGAAAACCAAATACGCTTCGGACCTACCGCACTACCTCTACCGCTACTCGAACGATACAACATTCGCAGCCTACCAGATTTTCTAAGGGTTCTCAAGCTAGACACTAGGGTCATGACCGTATACTTTAACTTGTTGAGGGATGGTACCATTTGTAGATACATGCTAAGGAACCTTCTATTCGAAGTACCCATCTTTTCAAGAATACTCTTCCTTAAGGATGCCCGCAAAATAGTTCCATCGCTAACATTGAAGGATCTCAGATACTCGGCAGGATACGGAGGAGTAAGACCTCAACTAGTAGACAAAGTTAACAAAAAACTGCTACTAGGTCAAAGCAAACTCTCAAACAACGACGGCTGCATATACAACATCACAGCGTCACCAGGGGCAACAACTTGTGTTTCTAATGCAGAAATCGATATGCGCGAAATTTGCGCACATATTGGAGCAACTATTGATGAAAACAAGTTGAAACAACACTATTTCGAGGGAGAGTATGCAATTTGATCTCGATGGAATAACCGACACAATCAACGAGGGAATTTATCGCCCTTACTAGTCTCGTGGAAAACCGTGCCAATTTACTGAATTGTTTCACGTTGCCATTCCAGAAAATACACAAAGCAGTCGAACCAGCCGAAGGTGTATTGCAAGCAGACAGTGTAACATGAAATAATATCGTATGCAGCACTTTTATATTTTGAAATTTAGGTTTAAAATTAGTGAGCCATAATAGAAAAGGCAGCTGATAGCTGAACTAACCAAAAATGGAGTTCAGCGTCCTCGCGTAGTAATCGTTGGTTAGTGACACCTTTAGACGATCGAAAACCAACGAAACACCCAGGTCATCTACCCACGTACGGGCCCCTATCCCGTGCACTGTAGCCTTTATCAGCGCATTTGTTCGGCTTTGCACGCGAAGGTGGGATGAAAGCTCTTTGACGTGAGTAAAGAACTGTAACACAACAAAAGCATCCAACATCTGATTGAAATCGAGCGTAGGCAATAAACGAGCACTGAACAAACCATCCAATACCAATTTGCTCAACGTAGCACCGGTGAAGATAGTACTGAAATACATTAAGTTGCTTGCCACACGAACTAGCAAAAACTTCCAAAATCCTGAAATGTACCAGTCCTGAAAAGATTTTCCAATGTTATTAGGACACAATACAGTGAGACGCAACTCAGCAATTTTCAAAAAATGGGAAGTCAACTTATCGATCACATCACCACGACTTTCCGGGGGCAAGTGCTTGATGGTTTCCACAAGCAAACTAGAGAGGCAGAGTGACTGTCGAGCGTCGGCAATGTTCCACGTATCAATGGCATTAATACACGCAGGTACAATAAAGTCGAGAACCAATTGAGGCAGAGATTCAGGACAAAATTTGCTAACAAATTTAAACCACTCGCGCCCACTTAGTTTGTTGACCTCATCGTTGCAAGGGGCTAATGGGTCCCAAGAAACCAGGTCAGCAACCACATACAATTCATAAACCGAACGCAAACGTTCTGAAATACGAAACTGCTCAAACTCTTCTGAGTGGGACTCTTTGAAGCTTTGATACACGGCAAGAGCATTCGATATTGTACTGTATTTGTCGGCGACGTCATGCATAACATCTTTTTCCACGGGTTTCAGGTCAGACGATGGATAAATACCTACTATATCATCGTATAACGATGACAGAGTAAAACACTCCATGAACGCGTCGCACACAGACGTGTTGTCTGGTCCGACACTGGCATTTCCCAACTCCTCCGCTCGGTGGTTTGCCATCTCTTTAAGCTTAGAAAGAACATCATCAAGCTGATCTGCACGGGTATCAAATGTGCGCTTCACTTTATGACAAACTTCCAGGCCATCATCATCAGTTTCGTCTAAATAACCACAGCTGTAGTCACACAGAATCCCATCAATGCGCAAAAGGTCGCACAAAAACCAACGATGCACGCAGTACGAGGCATCAGCTATATCCTTTTCATTATCGTACTTCGTTTGTAAAACTTCTTGCAATAATCCATGCTTAGCATGAAGAAGACCGCCTAACGCACGTGCGTTGGAAGCCAGAGAACGGAACAAATCAACATTCTTACGAACGCCATCCATGACAGGCTCGTACTGATTAGGGACCTTACGGTGATCCTCTATTTGTCCTTTGCAAGACTCTATGTTACGACGAAGCAACGAAAGTTCTTCACGCATCTCATCCAAACGACCGTTGAGGTATCGTGACGCTTCCTTAGAGTCGAAAGGCGGCAGTGCATCGAAACAGTTAGTCGCTGATGGTGGATTTGTACTGTCCCTATCACTCACATAATATGTTTCGTCGCCACTATCGTCCGAACTAAGGCCCAGCATACGCCTAGTGCTGTTACCATAGACAGAAGTGCTCTCCACGTGATTGTAACGGTTTTCATGCCCTGTATCATTGCTCTGAGGATATAAACTCTCGCCATCAACGTCCATATACATAAAGCTCTCAGCAAATGCAGACTCTGAGATTTCAGGCTGCGGCCGCTCAGATTGACGGCCAGCTGGCGCAACATTGGATCTCAAGCTGCCATCGATCATGGCAGAACTTTTATCTACTTCGCACTCTAGTGGTCCAGATTCAACCACACAATTCCTAACTCCCTTGCGTATACACACATCACCCTGCGAATCGAGGTCGTCTGTGAAACTCAGACCAGACCGACCACCACCAACTGTGGTTCTGTTACTGTCGGATGGCACTGAGCTTTCCTTGGGATGTAAGGAGGCACCTCCAATGCGCAAACCCCGTCTAAATGAGCGGAAATGCGTGTTATCAGAGGGAATACGATTAGATCCCGCAGAATCTGTTGATTCTGAGCTACCTCCTTTCTGTGCAGATGTATTACCACCATTAACAACAGATGACGGAGCGGAAGACACACTGCTGCTCCCTTTATCTCGGTTTTTACCGAGTAATGATCGTTTGGCAAACATCGCACGAGCTATAAAACAATACCGCGCACGGCGCGTGCAAATGTTCAAACCACTAACACAATGCCCACATCATACGACGGAAGTCGGTGAAGCAGTATTCATTCGTACATCCTGAGATCTGGAAGTTGAAATATGGATACACAGAGGGGCACGAGCGTCACTTGATAGACATGAGTTGTAGACAGTCCGGCAAAGTGTGGTCATAAACACGTAGTATACACAATATGTAGCTTGACAAAACCAGTTCAGTATTAATAATTAAGAACAAAATGGCGTGTAGCTAGGCAGTGTGCCCTCAACAAGGCAAAGAAGGCAGAAAGAAAGTATAGAAGGCGACAACAAGAAGACGTAGTTAACGCCTCTTGAATAGTTTGCACAAAAACTACTACATTGGATAGTGAAGAAGAATCTAATTGCAAAATCTCAGGATATGAATGTTTACGCTAAAGTTGGTACAGCACACTCCCCATCACAACACCGCGTCAATATTCGAAACAATACTGATAGGCATCAGCACAATTCGCAACCGCATAACGCT